CACACACACACACACACACACACACACACACACACACACACACTTCCCACATGAGACCAGAACCTCATCCGTCCCACCGAATCAAACAGGTTTCTGGTCTCCAGGGTAACCTTGAGGAAGTGCCGGATGGAGCGTCTCATGTTCCACAGGAGCATGTCAGCGTCACGTTTACAGAATCACGTTTACAGAATCACGTTTACGGCGTCACGCGGCCGCCTGCTCCTCCACACAAACCCTCAGAACCCGTCACAGAGTCCTAACTTGACCTGAAGGTCCAGGGGCAAGAGCTGGAGCGGGTTTCTGCAGAACCAGAAGAACTTCTGAGACCGAGAAGAGTCTGGGTTTAACACCTGTTTTCATTATATAATAAACAGCAAAACAATTAATAACATTATTATTATTATTATTATTATTGTTGTTGTTATTGTTATTATTGTTGTTATTATTGATATTATTATTATTATTATTATTATTGTTGTTGTTGTTGTTATTGTTATTATTGTTGTTATTGTTATTATTGTTGTTGTTGTTGTTGTTGTTGTTGTTGTTGTTGTTGTTGTTGTTGTTGTTGTTGTTGTTGTTGTTGTTGTTGTTGTTGTTGTTGTTGTTGTTTTAACCTTTTTCTTTCCTGCTTCTGATTTTTTCCTCATTATTTTTTATTTTGATTCTTTTTACTTGTGTTTTTTCTCTTTCCTTGTCTCCTTTGTTTCCTTTCCTTGATTCTGGACCTTCGGAGCACCAGCAGGGTTCTGCAGCGGGGAACTGGGCCTGGTTCTGATTGAATGAAAGTAGGTCGACCCAGCTCACAGCTCGGTCACAGAAACCAGCAGAAATAAAACTAAATGAAGTCCAAACGTCAGCCGGAGGTTCTGGTTCTGGTTCTGAAGCTCCTCCTTCCTCTGGATCAGAACCAGAGGTTATCAACATCAGCAGCCAGAACATTATGACCACTGACAGATGAAGTTGTCTCACTGGACCTGAGGGTGGAGGGCTGGTGGTGTCAGGACCAGGGTCACCACAGACCAGTCAGGGGGCCAGGCTGACCCGGGTCTGACCACCCAAAGCTGGTCCGATGTTCTGCACAGACAAACACAAGAACCATTCTGAGGTGGTTCCTCCAGAACCTCAAGATCTCAGTCAATGAGTCCAATCAGACATCTGTGGGATGTTCTGGACCAACAGGTCCGATCCAGGGAGGACCTCACAACGTCCAGGATCTGAAGGGTTGGAGCCAGAGGAGACCTGCAGACGAGTCCAGGAGGAGCCTGAATATGGGGGTCTGTTTGTAAAGTTACACAGTGAAAAGTGACCACCAATAGTTTTGTTTTATTTAACCTTTTTATAAGAAAAAAAGAACAGATTTATTTTTCAAAGTCAGTTTTTCACCATATGATTCATACATTTATAAATGTCANCTGAGTTTCAGTCTGAAACTGGATCGTAACGTTCCTCCCTGTCCTCCTGCAGGCCTCCAGAACTCCAGGAACACTCCCAGCCCCATCGACCCAGACTCCATCCAGGTCCCGGTCAGCTACGAGCCCGACCCGGCGGACCTGGCTCTGTCCAGCGTTCCGGGTCAGGAGATCTTCGATCCGCGCAAACACAGGTTCTCCGCCGAGGAGCTGAAGCCGCAGCCGATGATCAAGAAAGCTCGGAAGGTCTTCATCCCCGAGGATCTGAAGGTAACTTGGAGCCGGTTCTTCTGGGTCGGGGCTCCGGTTCTGTCGGGTTTGAGAAACCTGAGCTCCTCTGGGTTCGACTTTTAGTGAGTCCTCGTTTGTGTTTTGTTCTCTTCTCGAGCAGGATGATAAATACTGGGCCCGTCGCAGGAAGAACAACATGGCTGCCAAGCGGTCCCGCGACGCCCGCCGGCTCAAGGAGAACCAGATCGCCATCCGGGCCGCCTTCCTGGAGAAGGAGAACTCGGCTCTGAGACAGGAAGTGGCCGCCCTGAGGAAAGAGCTCGGGTGCACCAAAAACGTCCTCGCCAAATACGAGTCTCAGCACTGCTTGCTGTGAGGAAGATCACGGCGACGAAGATCTCCACACACCTGTGGTCCCGGTTTGACCCGATCCTCAGTCCAACCGGCTCGACTCATCAACCACCAGGCAGGAAGGAGGAAGGAAGTAGGTTCTTTCAACCTCTACCACAGACTCCGCCCCCTGCAGGTTTGCTCCCACAAAGCACCTGTTTTCACACCTGCCTACATGCCCCGCCTCCTGCTGCTCTCCTATTGGTCCATTTTATTTCTTTTTACATTTTTTTCTTGTCGTCTGTCGAGGACTTTTCAGACTTTTTCAAACTGAATATTTGTTTCTGTAAAGAACAGTTATTTATATCAAACACCTCAAATCACCAAAAAGTTTTTATTTACATTTTTGATTTTTAATCCTAGCTTTAATCCCATCAGGGAGTGACTTTAAACACTAAACTTTTAATCCTAACCTTAAAACCAGTAAATACTTTACAGTTCATCTTTTAGGTGCTGTAACGTTTTTATTGTAAGTTTGTTTTTCTGCCACCAAGGGGCAGAGTTAGTCTTTTTCTCTTCCAGTTTAATCTGGTTTAATCTCACCTTCATGCAGCAGCGTAGTGTTAAATTCAGCTGCTCAGCCTGCCTGAACAGATTAATCCACATTCATGATGATTTTTCAGGACGTTGAGCTCAGATGTATATATTTTTTTACTTTAATTTTAGCGCGAGCTCAAACCTTTAGTCATTATTTAAAAGTTTTTACGGTGAAAATGTGATAACAGATGGAACAGAGGTGGTGACGAATGACTGAACTGAGATTTTTCCATCAGGTCTGACATGTTGGCTTTTATTTTCAGTCAAATTGGTCTCTGTCTCTTTTTCCGTCTCTGACATGATTTTGTGATGAAGTTTGGTTCTGAAACAGTGAAAACTGAAACCAGGTCCATGTCGAACTCAGGTCTTCATATGTGGTTTGTTGTTGATTTTAATCGAATCAACTTTATCAACATTTCTGTTTTTGGAGATGTTGAACATTTAAAGATCTGCTCAGTGCTCAAGTTCTCTATGATGTCCCCGCCCCTTTTTGGGAGAAAATCAAGCCCCTCCCCTTTTTGGGTTAAAACAATCCCTGCAACTTTATCTTACTGGAAATCCTTCATTTTAATTGCCCAAATATTACAGTTTGTTAGTGAAATGTTCATTTTCCCTGCTGATCAACAATCACATTATATAATAAAACAAACCGTTACTTAAATGAGCTGCTTGCTGATAACATAAGATGCTAACAGTCAGGTTATTGTCAACATATTTAAATGTAAAATTTAAATAAGTTTTATGTGAACAGACTGTAGTTAACTCGATTTAACTGTTAAAGCTAACGACACAAAGAGAAGCTAATGTGACCATAAAAACCAGACCTGTAGACTCATTAACAATCAAATATTTACTGAAATGATCCTGATGATAGCATTAGATGCTAACCCAACTCAATCAGAACCAAACATTTATCTTAAAAAGAAAACCCAGTTTATCTAAAATACAGATTACAATCTGCTTCTGAGTCAATAATTTATTGAAAATAAAATAGAAATGAAAACACTGAGCAGCTGTTTCTTGGTTCAATAGAACATCCTGTGGTTCTGGAAGGTTTTACCGTGAATGCACTTTCAAGTCTTTACTACAGAATCTACAGAATATATTGTTATATTAAAGGTTTTAATGTTTTTATAGAGGTATTCCTGCTTTTGTACAGATATTTTTGTGTATTTTGGAAAAGTTTTCATAAAAAGAAAATATAAATATATATATATATATAAACTTCATAAACTATTTATTATTATTGCGCTCAGTGTGGTCCGAGCCAAATATGGGCATTCACTTCATGTTTCCTCTCTTGTAGATTAAAAACCTCAGATTGTCTCTGTCACACCTGCACAGGTGAGACATTTAATAGCCAGGTGCTCCTCCTCCTCCAGGTGTGCCTCCAGCACAGAGGAACAAAAAGCACTTTGATTCTGTTTCTCTCCTGGTTCTCTGTGAGATTCTGTAGCTGCTGTTTATTTGTTTTATGTTTCTGCTGATAAATAAAAAGTAAAAACAATGATTCATGTCGTTTTGGCTGTTAACTGTGAAAAACCTCTGGGTTCCTCAGGAAGTGCAGGACATTATCACCTCAGTGTTTAACATTTTTACGTCAAACTATTATTTTATTTAGGATCCTGCTGATGTCCACCAGGGGGCAGCACCTGCAGTGTGGAAAATAGGTTTCAATCATATTCATCATCAGATAGATTTTATGTTTAAAATGAAATTATAAAAGTTTTAAGCTTCATGGCTTTTTAAACATCACAAACTTTTCTTTATGTTCATTTATCAGAATCTTTTTTCTGACGTTTTTAATAAACAGAAGAATTAAGCTAAACGCTATCATTCTTTTTATGTCCACTAGGGGGCAGCAGAGTTTTACTTTACACAAGCTGCAGGTCTTAAAAAATAAATAAATAAAACCTTTTTCTCTTCCTGCTGTTTTATAAAAATAAAACATTCATATATTAAACAGAATAATTTATTTACTTTAAACAGAAGCAATAAAACAGACTGGTGTAAAACGTTATTTATTAAACAAGTAATTTTATCAACATTTATTCTTTTCATCTGAAGAAAAACTGAACTGCTTTTAGTTTTTTTTTATTTTTGTTCTTTATAAACCCAGGTTTTATTAAACAAACTGGAATTTTAATCCAGAAAAGACTGAAAATATCTGTAGTTTTATTATTTCTACCAGGTTTTATTTCCGTTTAATAATTTTTTTTACTGATCTTTTTATTTTATCAATAAGTAGTTTGTGCATATTTAGGACACTAATTTGTAAACATTAAAGCACCGTTTTTACTTTTTCCACTCTGATCAAATCTGGATCAGGATCCTCATCAAACAACAAAGATAAAATAAATTCTCCCGTGCAGAGTTAAACCCAGTCCTGATTGGATCTGCAGCTCAGAACCATCAGAGTTTAAACGGGTCAAAGTTGGACTTTAATGGCTGGACTGCTGTTTAACAGGTTTTACACAAACACAGGTTCAGATGGAGGATTTTCACAGATTTTAACACAAAATATTAAAACCTTTTATAAACAAACATTCAGTTGATAGAAAAGATTTGATGATCCGTGGATCTGTTTCAGAACCTTCATCGTCTCGTTTTTAGAACCTGGTCTATAACAGGAGAATGGGTTCCACTTCATGGACAGGTGATTATGTTGTTGTGTTTTTAATGAAAACCCTGAACCTTCATCGGTCTTTGAGTCATGGAGCCTCTGATGGTCTGACAGAGTCTCTGGCTCTTAAGGCCTTTATGAATCTTTTATGTCTAAATTACTAATAAAAGTTAAATATTTGATCATTTTGTTAGCGTTACAGTATAAAGAGGCTTCCAGTTGATTATTTAAATTCCATCTTCAACGTAAATGTCTTTAAACTTTTCATGAGTTTATGAGTCTACAGGATTAACCCTCTGATATGAGTTTCTGTGGTCCGGTCTTCAGGGTTGGTTCTGGTGGGTTTTTGTTTCAATCTGCAGCAGGACTCATCTCTCTGAGTGACGTTCAGACTTCAGACGCGTTCCAGTCTGAAAACAACAAATCTGTGGGACGTGAAGCTTACGTAANTACCCTTTTATTTTATTTTATTTGTATTTTACGTACATGTGTTTTTTTTAGTGAAATGAATAAAGTTAATAATAATACTGCAGTCTTCACTGAGCTGCTAAGAACCAGATTCCATCAGAACCTCCTCTCCCTCTGCAGCTTTCAGAAAGGAGCAGCAGAAGGAGAAGAACCTGGACGAGGAGCTCAGCGCCCCCCAGTCCGCCTTCCTGGGTCCCACGCTGTGGGACCGGACCCTGTCCTACGACGGGGACACCTTCCAGCTGGAGTACATGGACCTGGAGGAGTTTCTGTCAGAGAACGGGATCCCGTCCAGCCCGCCCCACCACCAAACACAGGCCCCGCCCCACCAACCCCACGTCCTGCCGCAGGCTCCGCCCACAGCAGCACGAACAATGGGGGAACTCAGTAGCCACGCCTCCACGTCGCTTCAGCAGGCGTCGTCGTCAGCGACCTGCCTCCACAGCAACCCTGCAGGTAACTAACATTAATTCAGATTAACTGGGATTAATTAAGATTAATTAGATTTCAAAAAGGTTTAATTACAGAATTACTTGGTGCTTTTATTGATTCTTCTGACCGAAAACATCTGAGAGACAAACTGAAGCTCCAAAATGAAAAATAATATTCATTAAAACCTCAATAAAGTTTACTGCAGCAAATAAAACCATAAACAGGAAGCTGCTGCCAAGAAACAATAATGTGCAAAATGTGACCCAGCAGCTCTGTGACCCTGCAGCTCTGTGACCCCGCAGCTCTGTGGTTCTGCAGCTCTGTGGTTCTGCAGCTCTGTGACCCTGCAGCTCTGTGGTTCTGCAGCTCTGTGGTTCTGCAGCTCTGTGGTTCTGCAGCTCTGTGGTTCTGCAGCTCTGTGGTTCTGCA